GAGCATCCTTTCTCATTTCGCGAAACAGCGACGTCCGAGCGATGGCCAGGCCTGCAGGGGCCGGGCGGCCCCTCGCCGCCACGGCGGGCTCGGCCTCGGAGGCCCGGGCCGAGCGCACCCCCGGGGAGGCCCGGGGAGCGCGGGCGGCGTCGGTGCCCCTCGCTGGTGCACTCACGCCGTGGCCGCTCGTCGCGTGGCCGCGGGCGGCTGGGCGCGGCCCCTCGTGGGGCGCTGCGGAGGGGGCCCCTCGCCCTCGAGGGGGTGCAGAACTAGTGCCATGTGCTTGAAGTCGGGCCTGTGCCTCTGCAGGGGGAGTCGTCAAGCAGAGTCAAGACAGAGTCTGGGCACGTTTTTTTTGTTGTTGTTCTCCACGGTGGACCAGTCTTGATGTTTTTTTAAAAGATGATCCTCCAAGATCCGCCTGCGGGAGGACACGCCCGGCCTAAAGGCCATGCCTTTTCTCCTCGGCTCGGAGGCGGCCGAAGGCCTGGGAGCGAGGCCGGCGGCAGCCGGCGCAAGAGCAGGGCGCGACGGCAGCTCTGCCAGCGGAGGGCCAGCGGAAGCAGGCGGAAGTAGGCATCGGCTCTCCAGGTTCCGAGGAGGAAGACCGGGGGTGGACAGAGCCCCCAACCTCACACGTCGATTCGTGGATTGTCCGCTCTCGGTTCTCGAGAGGGCGCCGCGGCCGTCATTTTCCAGGCTTGCGCCCGTCAGGTCTGGGCCCGAGGTCGTTTTCACGAAACCACGTTTTGCTAGGGGGGGTTCGGTCCATCCCCGAGAAGAGGCACCCATACTGCAAAAACCCTTCCCTCGTCTTCCCCCTTCTCATGAGCCTCCTGGGAGGCCCTCGTCGTCACCGCTGCATTCGCCTCGCGGTTGGAGTCCCTGCTCGACAGGGCAGCCCCTGGGCCACCAGTCGTCGAGCGGGTCAGCCCGCGGGCCGCGATGGGGGTCGGAGGGGGAGGCGGCCGGGCAGGCAGCGCCCGCCGTTCCCGAAGCCGTTTTTTGCTCGAGGGCCGGCCAGTTTTCGCGGCCCAGCGCCGTTTGATGCTCGGGTGGTCGGTAACGTGGAGGGGGGAATTCGGAGGAGGAACAAAAATACCCATGCCTCTACTTTTCCTCGTTTTCCCCTTGTTGGGCCTCCTGCGCGGCCCTCGTCGCCACCGCTGGATTCGCTTCGAAATCTTGGTCAGAACGCACCCCAGGAGAGGTCCGGGGAGTAGCGGTATCAGCACCTTTTGATTTACCCAGGAATCGCATGCATGGGGGGCGGCGTCGATGCGTATCCAGTTTGCTCACAGTTCGTGTGTATGTATGTTTCTACGCACATGCGTGTGTATGTGTAATTCTGCCCAGCCACGCGCAGCGGGGGGGTAGGGGAGGGGGGTAGGCTTCTTCGAAACACCCCTGCTTCTCAGAAGGCGCAGGCCTAATCCTTAGGCGTAAAGCCGGCGCCTTCTAATAAGCAGCCTCCTAAGAAGCCTTTCCCTTTCCTCTACCCCCTTGTGCGCGCCGCCAATATGCATGCACGTACATATGAATACGTGTATGTATTTGTGTAGGCATCAAGTTAAGCATGTGTATGGGTATATACATACGTATAGATATTCAAACTGTCTTGCTTTACTCATCGCCCCCTCTTCCCCTCTTCGCCTTCCTCCTCGCAGTTCCTCCTCCCTTGTCCTTTTCTCGCTAGTTTTTTTGTTTGGGGTGAATATTCTGGGGTGATGTTGCAATTTACGCCACGGTCGTCCCCTCCCTCAAATATCGAATGGCCTTCGGCCCATCCCGCCGCCGTGCCTGGGTTGTGGGTCAGAGTTCTCATGAATGCTTCTTCGGGTCTGTTCGGAGTGCTCTCGGGGGCCTCTCGGATTCTCTCTGTTGGGGCCTCCTAGGGGCCTCTTGGGGCCGAGGGCTAGAAATGTCCGTTCTAGTTCCCCATCTGGGCCCCCTCTTGGGCCCGTCTTTGGCCTTCTTGGGCTGTCTTAGGTGCTTCTTAGGCCGTCTTGGGGCACTCTTGGGCCGTCTTGTGGGGCCTTCTTGGGAGCCTCTGGTGCCGTCTTGGGGCGATCATGGGGGCCTCGTGGGCCCTCTTGCAGCGTCGGGAAGAGAAAGGCGCGAACGAACGCTAAAATCCTTCAACAACCGTGGGGAAGAGACAGGCGCGAACGCTGAAATCTTGTGAAAGCCCTAGGAGAATCACTGAACTCTGCTTCCTGGGGGCCTCTGGGGAGGCCTGGGGAGCTCTTCGGCCTTCTCGGTCGGAGGCTTCTTGGGCCCTACCGGGGTCTCTGTGGGGCCCTGCTGGGCAGGGCCACTGACCCGGAGGCCCGCGAGACGCACCCCTGTAACGCCAAAGAGCTCCCAATGGGGCCCGGCGGCGCATGGGAAACCAGGGGTCGGGGCCTAAGAGACGGGGGTCAGTGCAAACGGGGGTCAGCCAGAGCGCCAGATCCTGCAGGATCCTGCGAAGGCCCCCTCTGGCTGACCCGGGTTAGCGAGGCGCTCGTGGCCGCGAGGCGGCCGCTCGTATTGGCTGACCCGGGTTTGCGAAGACCTGCGTTGCAGTTTTTTTCCTGCATTGCAGTTTTTGGTTTCCTGCTGACCCGGGTCTGGATTGACCCGGGTCAGAAGATCCCCGAAGGGGCCCAGGCCCTCAAAGTGTCAACCGTCCAACATTTCACCATTTAGCTGTCTCACCTCCGGCTTCATCCTTCTCGCTTTGTCTCTCCTTGTCTCCCGTCCATCTCTGCTTCTCCGCTGCCGTTTAGGGCCCTTGAGCCAGGACGCCCAGGAAAAGAGCGATCGACGATGCGATCCGAGCCAGTCCTCGATCGACATAAATAATCTCTGGGCCCTGGAACCTCTCAGGCCTTGGGGCACTCCACCAGTGGCGGGTACATCTTCATCGATGCCCATGCGTTCTCACCTCGTCAGCGTATCGTTGGTCAGTTTTGGCCTCGTGCCGTTGCATTGAAACATGCAGCCGCCTGCAGCAAGCCCTGCCACCGTGCCTGTGCAACAGCGTAGCAGAAAAGGAATTTGAATACTTCAAGCTTCGCGTATCCTCACCAGCCCATCCAGGAACGATGCGCAGGGGAGCTGCCCGTGCAAATCGGAAGAGCGTGGCATCATCCGGAGAGCTCGGGGAGCCTCCATGGACCAGCAGCTTCTCGGATGCCTCTCGGAGTCGCTTGGGATGTCTCTCGGGGTCTCTTGGAGGCACCTTGGGGTTTCTTGGACGCCTCCTGGTGGCTCTTGGAGGCGTCTTGGGGCGCTTTGTGGGCCTTGCGGGCCTCTTGGGACATCTTGGGGGCCTCGTTGCGGTCTTCAGAGCCTCTTGGGGCGTTTTGGTGCCTCCTGGGGGCCTCTGGGGGCCTCTTGCCGGCCGCTTGGGGGCCTCTTGGGGTCCTCTTGGTGGCGTATTGATCGCCCCTCGGGTGGCGGGTGGCCTGTTTTGACCCCCTTGGTGGGCCTGTTTTGACCCCCCCGGGGGGGACGAGGCGTGTTTTCGGTCCGCGGTTCACTTGTATGCGATCTAGTACGGAGCATTGCCCAACATCAGCTCTGGAGACGCGGACGATTTCATAACGATGCGTGTTTCGAATCGGCCTTGGAAAGCATTGAAAGACCTCACCAAACAACAGAGGAGCATGTTGACACCCCCACTCCCTGCAGGCACATTGGCGGATTCTCAGGCCTCCAGGCGGTCCAAAAATTCCCTGGTCCGTGGGACGTCGGTCCCCCAAGGCGGCGGGCATGAGTACAATCAACCATGATAGTAAGGATGGGGTAACTTTCCAGGCTACCCTTGCATCCTTGCCCCCTCGGTATTCGGCATCCTTCGGCATTCTGCTGCGCTCCGCACGGAAAGCATAAACATGGCGTTCCATTCCAAGGTCCATGCATCCTTACCGCGCATCCTGACTATCTCGGTCGAGTGTAAGTTTATGAGTGAGTTCTGGCCTCGTGCGGGGGGTATGGGGTCTTCACCCCTGCACTCTCACTACGCGCTCGTACTGCCGCACGTCGGCGCCACTCGAGGGGCCACCGACTGGGGATCCCCGTGCCGCGCCCGCCCAATGATTGGCACGTGGCCCGCTTCCGTCAGAGTTTGCACCCGAAATGCAGCGCTCCAGTGTTGTTTTGACTGTCCGCAGGATGGTCGTACAGTCAACCACGATAGGAAGGATGTTCAACCTTCCCAAGGGCACCCTTGCATCTTCGCCTCCTCGGTCCATCCTTCGCCGCTGTCGCCTGCCGCGCCCTGCTCGAACAGATTCGACATGGGCGTCCAAGGCCCTTTGCATCCTCATCGCGCATCCTTAATGGAGGATGACGATTAATAAATGACCGGGGGTCGTGTTCGCGCGGCGGCGCCCGGGATGATGATTTGAAAAAACCGGCCCCTGCTTGTGTGGTCGTCGCAGAGTCGGGCCTTCTGTGACGACCACGCAGGCGAGCCCTGCTCCTGAGCTGTCCCCCCCCCCCCCCGATGTGGGACACTTTTTTAAAAAATCGTTCCCCCTTCCCTTTTGTTTCTGAATCGTCATCCCACATTGCTCCACTGGCTGGCTGCACTCTGGCCGTCCGCAGGGCGGCCGCGACCCTGTTGGCACTGCGTCCGTCGCCGGGCGGGGCGGCGAGCGGGCAGAGGCGGCGGCGGGGCCCGCCCGGTCGGCGAGCGCTCCCCTTCCGTGTGTAGTTCGAGGGAGAACAAAAAAAAACCCACGAACCTAGATCTGGACGGAAGGGGGGAAGAGGAGGGAGAGGGAGACGGAAGGGGAGGGAGGGAGCGCTCCTCCCTCCTCGATCGGGCGCGGAGGGAGGAGGGAGGAGCGCTCCACGGAAGGGGAGCGCTGGGCCCCCCCCTCCCTGGCGCGCGGAACGCGCCACGGGCGGCACCGGAGGCGCCGCCGGGGGGGGATCCAGCGGAGATCCCAGAAGTCCGTGAGGAGCACGGTATGCAGCTTTTCTTCTTCTGTCAGCGCCCACCCGAGATGCAGTTCTCAGTTTTCGCCATGGCAGTCAGCAGGATGGCCGTGACCCCGAGGGCGCTGCAGCTGTCGCCAGGCGGGCGGGCGGGCGGGCGGGGGCAACAGAGGGGGGTGATCCTCCCCAGAGGAAGGATGGACAGGAGGGGGAACAGCACTAGCAGCAGGGAGGAGGAGGAGGAGGAGGAGGAGGAGGAGGAGGAGGAGGAGGAGGAGGAGGAGGAGGAGGAGGAGGAGGAGGAGGAGGAGGAGGAGGAGGAGGAGGAGAGGAGAGGGAGGAGGGAGGAGGGAGGAGGGAGGAGGGAGGAGGAGGAGGAGGAGGAGGAGGAGGAGGAGGAGGAGGAGGAGGAGGAGAGGAGGGGCAGAGGAGGGAGGAGGAGGAGGGAGGAGGAGGAGGAGGAGGAGGAGGCGGAGGAGGAGGAGGAGGAGGAGGAGGAGGAGAGGAGGAGGAGGAGGAGGAGGAGGGTGAGGCGGAGAGGCGGGGGGGGAGGATGCGGAGGACTGGTCGTGCTCCACAGGCGTTCCACCACGCGGCAGGGAGAGGCAGCAGCAGGTTGCAGGAAGAGGGGGAGCCCTCCCCCCCTCCCCCCTCGACTTCTGCCAGAGAGTTGGCCCTGGCCGGAAATGTCCTCCCCCCGGATGTCCACGGAGGCCTCCGGGCACCCCTCCGCTTGACCCAGGGGGCTCCATGGTCTCCTGGACGGCGCAGCAGGCTGGGGGCACCCGGGGCCAGGATCGCCGCTGGCAGCCCCCGACCCCTCCTGGCCCCCTGTCCCTTGGGCCCCGTCCCCACGGCAAGGGCACCTGCTGCCCTGGGCGAGGCGGCATGCCCGCCTCCCTCGCACTGCCCCCGCCCCCGCCCCGCCTCCATCTCCCCAGGGAGGCCCCTCCCCCGCCTGCCCCCTCCCGCCGCTCCTCCCCCTCCCCCCTCCTCCACGTAGAGGCCTCCTGAATGGGGTCCAAGCAGATGGGGTCGGAGGATCGCGCCGCATCGCCAAAGCATCGGCGGTGCATCGGCGATGCATCGGTAACGTCCGCGATGCATCGGCGACGGCGGCGTGGAGAAGCACAGGCTCCACATCGAGCCGCATCGGCGATGCATCGGCGATGCGGCGCGATCCTCCGACCCCACGTACTCCGACCCCATCTAGGAGGCCTGAGTCGATCCTCCACTCTCCTCTGCCGCCCTCCCGCCCCCCCCCTCGCCAGGCGCCTGGCCCACCTCCCCCCCTGCCGTCCCTCGACCTTCCCGAGGTGCAGCAGCTCTGGCTGCCGCCCGCCGCCCCAACGGCGGCGCCCTTAGAGCTCGTCCATGGAGGCATTCGCGGCGGAGGTCTTGACTCCGCCCCCTCTGCCTCCTCATCCACCTGCTCCTCACCACCCACCATACTACCCCAACCCAACCCGAAGGCCCCACGTTGACCTCCATTCCCAGTGGGGGAGGGCGCCTGGAAGCATTGAAACAGCACATGTGGAACCCGCATCCCCCCAAACGCGCAAATGGGTTCTTCGGGTTAGGTTGGGGTTGTCTGGTAGGTAGTCAGCCTCCTCCACCTCCTCTTCCTCCGAAGCGCATAAGGGAACCAGAGACGGCACGAACGCCCGAGGCGGCGCCCGAGGCGCCGTCAGGGGTCCAGCGCCGACCCAAGCAGTCCTCGCGGACCTCCGACAAATGATGTTGAGGCAGAGCTTTGTTCATCCATCTTCCGCCTCGAACCTCGCAGTTGACCGCTTTCTTGTCATCATCGCCGTCGTCGCCGTTGTCGTCGTTGTCGTCCGCCTCCTCGGCTCATAGCCTGGGGCCCCTTGGGAGTTGAAGTGGTCACGCGACGCGGCTGCGTTGGCCAACGGCGATTGGCCGCCCTTTCGAACCTCTCGAATTCTTGCTGCCCATAGGCTGTGCGCCGGGTCCTCTTCCTTCTCTTTCACAGCTACTCAGTGGGACTACTACTTTCTTTCCTTCCCTGACTACGTCTTGGTCGTGTCCCTCCCCCCGTGTATGTAAACTTTGCGAACATGAGTTGTTGGTGCGTTGTCGTGTAGTGTATGTGGTCTCGTTGCAGTGCTTCGTTGCCTCATTTCAGGATCGGTGCTTTGCTTCCGCCGTTCAGATTGGCATCCTCGCCCCAGCATGGGCCACCCTGCTAGATCCGAGTGCGCCTCGTTGTCGCCACTCGTTTCGTTCCCTGGCCTTCTTGTGGTCCTCTTGCTCCTCCCGCTCCTTCTGCTCTTGCTGCTGCTGTTCCTCCTCGTCCTCTCCTCCTTCCTCATCCTCCTCTTCCTTTTTTCCTCCCGCTCATCCGCCACTCCCCTTGTATTGCGAATCACATGATGGGGTCCTTTTACCCATCGGCGGACACAGACAACATCAGCCCCATGGGAAGGGATGGGTGGGAGGGACCGAATGTGAGGTATGGCGCGGGCGCGCCTTGCTTGTCTCTCTCGTCTCTCCTCTCTCCCTTTTCTTTCTCTCGCTTTCCCCCATCCCCTGCGTTCCTTCTCCTCCTCCTCCCCCTCCTCCTCCTCCTCCTCCTCTGCCCTCCTCTGCCCTCCTGTCCCCCTGTGCTCCTACTTCCCTCCTCTTCCCTCCCTCGCCCCGCCCCCCTTCCGCGACCGCACCCCCCCTCTCGCCCACCCGCACCCCCCTCCCCCGGGGGCTGGGCCCCGTGCCAGGCGTGCTGCCCCAGGCGAAGCGGCCGGCCTGCGGACCGGCCGGCGGCTCCAGGAGACGCCGCGGGCGAGGGGGGGTCCTCTTGCTGCTCGTCCTCGTCCTCGTCGTCGTCGTGTTCTTTCTCATTTCCCTCCTCCTCCTCCTCCTCCTCCTCCTCCTTCTCCTCCTCTCCGTCCTCCTCCTCCTCCCTCCCCCTTTCATCCTCCCCTTCGTCCTACCCTCCTGCCTCCTCCCTCCCCATATCCTCCTCCTCCCCTATCCTCCTCTTCCTCCTCCTCCTCCTCCTCCTCCTCCTCCTCCTCCTCCTCCTCCTCCTCCTCCTCCTCCTCCTCCTCCTCACTCCTCCTTCCTCCCGGAAAGTGGTTGCTACAGGGATGGATCTGGCGTTGGCGGTGCAACGGTTTCGCGATTGTAATGCTCAAGTTGCTGATGTGCAGTCCAGTCAGAACGCTACGTACGTCGGCGTGTACCTCGGCCCTCGCGGAATTGAGTTGCCTTGGAGGGGTCATTGGCATGAGTGTTTGGAACGCGTCTCGCATGTCAGAGCTCGGCTGATCGGGGTGGCGCGAAGCATCCGTGTCTACAACATGGTGGCCCACCCTGTGCTGTCCTATGCCGGCCACTTCCACGAGACGCAACACCGCGTAGCAAACTTCGAACATACTGCGCTGCAGAGGCTGACGGCGGCACCGCGACATTCTACTCACACGGCACAGCTGGAAAGAATCTATCGACGCGCTGGGCTCTGACGCGGTGCCGAGGAACGTCATGATTGTTGAACAAAGCTGCCATCTTTCGGCGTGCCGTCCGCTCCCCCGCCTTCCCCAACGTTGCCGAACGTTTCCACTAGATCGCGGAGTACGACTATGATGTGTTCTTGGTTCCGAGTTTAAGAATCCGGGTTGCAAGCTGCGTGGCTATGGCAAGGCCCAGAATGCGTCGTGGAGATGTCGGGCATTGCGCCGCATCTCTGTGATCTTGATGAACACGACATGCAGAAAAATGATGTAGTGGTCGTTGTGGGCCTGTCGAGGCCCTGTGACGATCATGCCTTTGCTTCACCAACGTGTTTGGTACTTCTGGCCTGATGCAGCGTAGGCAATCGGTGTCCCCATGTGCATGCATGTAGACATTCTGGTACAGAAAGCTGGTCAGTTAGCCGCCATTTTGTCGATCGAAAGCGTATGTACAGCGTGGCCCGTGTCGGTACGCTCCTGACAGGGCAGCCAGTGCTGCCGATTCGGGTGTATGGCCAGGTTCGGCGACCCCGTCGACCACTCTCTGCGCCGTACTGCGGCTCTTGAGGCGTTGCCGCGCGCCCTCCCCGCTCTTGCTCGTCGCTGCGATGCATGGAGGCGCCGTCAGCATTTTGTCTCCGAGGCCCCCCCCCTTTTGCGCCCTCGTGCCCCAGGATTCTTTTGGGCCCAGCTGCCTTGCCTCTCTGTTTCGCTCTCGCGCTCGCGTCCTCGCGCGCCGCCGCGCAGGCGCTCGCTCGCTCCGTCCTTCCCCCCCCGAGGCCGACAGGGCTGGTCCCGTCTGCCCCGACTTCGATGCGCGCGGCCAGCCGCCCGCGCGCGTTGCCCCCGAACATGCTGCCCTCGTCGCGTCTCGTGCTCTTGTCCGCCTGTCTCGTCTCTTTTCTGGGCCGGTGCGTTGGTCCTCCTGACCGACCGACTTCTGGCTGATGAAGGTGATCCTGCAGCCGCGCAGACCTGTCCTGCCACCTCCCCGCGGCTGAGCCCAGCGGGGAGGTGGGGGCGCATTGGGGAAAATGTGGGAAGCAACATGTAAGAAGCGAGGCAACATAATGACCTAGATAGGAGTGGAGAGGCGGGGCGCCTGAACAGAACAGCCGGGGCGGTCAGGGCTTCACCTGTTACTCGGCAAGGCGAACACTCAGAGGCCAGGAAGAGGAAAGACGAAGAGGCGGAAGGGAAACCAGAGATGGGGGGGGAGGGGCAAGAGGAGGTGAGCGGTCGCCTCTAGTCCTTGCATGTGGTGTACCCTCTGTTCGCAAGGAAGGAGGTCAAAGGGGGCATAAGAGGCCTCACATGTAATCGGGAGGTGGAGCCGTGAGGGCGCAGAGGTAGATAGGTAGGCGGGTGCGCGTCTAAACGGGGTTGCGACAGTCGGCGTTGCAACGCCACCGCGAGGCCTGAAAGGTGAGATGCAGCACTGCGATGAAGGTGGGCGCGTAGGAGGAAAAGCCACAGGCGGTGCAAATCGCACAGGAGGAAGAACTGCGATGAAGGTGGGTGCGTGGAGGTGAATGCCACAGGCGGTGCAAACATAGCTCGGCGCGGAGGTGGCTGCGGTCGCATGCGAATGTGGGGTGAGGCAGAGAACGGCGCAGTTGCCGTGCTCTTGAGGAGGTGGTGCAGTTACCATGCTCTTTTGGAGCGGGGACCTAGCTGCGCCTTCGCTCGGCCAGAAAGGGGAGGTGGAGAATATAAGGAGGAGTCGAATGGCCTTGAGCGCGCTGATACCCCCGCCCGCCCCGACCGCGAAAGGGGGGGTGAAGGTTAGAGGACGAGGCACGAGGACCAGGTAGGTGGTGAAGGTTGGGGGAGGAAGGCGGGCGCAGGTCCCGAGATGAATGCGGGCGGCGCGATTGAGGTCGTCGCCGCATCCGAGGCATTGCTGCCGCGTGTCCGCCCACTGCCGCAGGCGAGGGAGGCGAGGATGTAGATGCTCTCGGAGATGACGGGGTCGCGCGGCCAGCCGCCGCGAGGTCGGTCCGACCCTGAGGCGTGGGATCAGTTCACTGGAGCCCAGGCGGGGGCGACACCGGCTCGCCCGGAGAGGGTGGAGCGTGGGAGTGGCGGAGAGGGCCAGGGTCTGAGTGGGATAGGTCGGTGGGAGGAGGAGGAGGAGGAGGAGGAGGAGGAGGAGGAGGAGGAGGAGGAGGAGGAGGAGGGGGAGGAGGGGGAGGAGGAGGAGGAGGAGGAGGAGGAGGAGGAGGAGGAGGAGGAGGAGGAGGAGGAGGTCGGAGAGGTGGCAGGGGCGTGGTGGTTCTGCCGTGGCGGCGTCGGGCGCACGGGCGCCTCGTTTTCGGCCGTCCAGGCCCGCGCGGATGGTGGCGAGGATGGTTGTCGCCAGTGGTTAGGGGCGTAGCTTGGCATCGCTCGGACGTGTGCGTTTTTTTCCTCGGCGAGGGCCATCGAGGAACATCCTTGACCACTTGCCCGAACAAAACCACTCGAGGGACATCCTTGACCATTGACATCGATGGCGAGGTAGTTGGTCGACGGACTCGTTCAGGCTGTCGATGGGCTTGGTCGCGGATATCCTTGGCCGCAGAGGTTTCTTTCTGGAAGTCGAGGGCTCGGTTGTAGCTGGCGTGTCGTTCCCCTGCCGTCGTGGCGAGGCTGTCGAGCGTCTCCCGGGGGGGCGTTGTGTGGGGAGTGGTGCTCGGTGATGATATCTGGTATCAGGGCTTGTGTGGTACTTCGCGCGTTATTGGTCTGAGGGGTGGTGCCCCTTGCCCATAGCTCGTTGTTGCTGTTGTAGGACATGCTGAGGATTGTGACCTTGTCGCCCTCGTTTACCGCGATGGTGCCGCGTGCGATGGAGACCTCCAGCTTGGCGCGGCACGGGTGGCGCATGGTTGCTCCCATCGGGGCGGTGATTGTGTCGGGTTTGGCCTTCTCGTGTGTGATCGTAGTGATGGGGAACCATCCAGTGGGCTTCTGTGGTTCGACTTGTATGGCAGGTGGTTGGTTGTCGCTTGCTGCTGGCGTGCTGTCGCTGGACGTCGGGTTGGAGCTGCTGAGTTCAGTTGTAGGTGTGTACCGTTTCCTTGAATCGTGCTCCTGCTGCATGGTCTTGCCCTCGTAGTCGATCACATGAGTAGGCTGTTATGTTGCTTCTTCTTTGACGGTCGGTAGGGTAGGTGGGGCTTTGTATCTCACTGGCTTCGCTCCTGAGATGAGCCCGCTTTGAGGGAGTGTGTGGTGTTCTCGGGGGGGGGGTCTATTGTGAGGGCGTGGTTGTTGGCGTTTTGGCATTGGTTGCGTCGCCAATGCTCGTGGGTGTTTCTTTGTTTGATAGGTGGGCTGTACTGTTGACTGCGGTCAGCGTTGTAGTTTCCTGCTTGTGCATTGTCTCTTACTGTTGGGCTGGCTCTCGCGTCGGTAATATCTCGACGTGGATCTCGCGCTCGAAGGTGCCATGGTCGTCGCATGGTGCGAGTATCGGCTTGGGGCTGCGCAGCTGCTTGATGCGAAAGATGCGGTGGCTTACGCGTGGAGGATGTGGGCCTCCCTCTCGCATGGGTGCGACCACGGTCATGGTGTTGCCGAAGATGAGGAATGGTCTGGAGCCCCGTTTGACCTCGAGATGGGAGAAGAAAGTGCCGCCTGCAAGGTCGCTGCACCAGAGATCTGCTCGGTCAACCCATTCGCGTGCTTCTGGTTCCTGTTGGTATTGGGTCCTCAGCTTGTCGAGTATACCGTGGATGGTTTGCGTCGTAGCTTTGCCGGCCTGCTCCCGTTTGACTGGGAACTCTGGTATTGGAGGGTGGTCGTTGAGGGAGGGAGGGACGATCGGCCTGCGGCTGCGATAGAAGCAGCCGTCCTTGTCGATGCTGAAGGCCTCGACGTTCTGTTCGGTTAGCTGTCGAGTGCACCATGGGTCGTAGTTGACGCCGCCTGGGAATTTCCACTGGGTGATGCCTGTCTGCAGGTTGTGGTAGTAGGCGAGGCTGCTGTTTGCGTCAGCCTGGGCCGTCCAGCCCGGCGGCAGCATCGCGTCGCGGGATGGGTCGGGTCGCAGCGCGCCCCCTTGTTGTAGATTGTCAGGGCACATGGGTTGCGGAAGTATCGGTTTGTCCTTGTCGTCGGTGTAGTGGTTTGCAATGGGGCTCCGCTTGGGGGTTGTCCAGGCGGCGGCGGCGGCGGCTGGTTCTGCGTCGGAGTCGCGTTCTGGTTGTAAATGGGCTGGGAGATAATCGGCATATGTACTGGGATGGCTTGTTGGACCTGTGGTGTAGATATTCTCTGTGAGCTGTAGGTCGGCATGCGATGGGATCGCGCGCGCTGGCCGTTGTACCTGTTGTGGTCTAGCTTCTAGAGAAGCCGCATTCCAATCGGGGAAGTAGCTCTGTGCCTACTTGATGGGCTGAAAGCTTGCGGTGCGTAGTTTCTGGCAGAGTTGAAGCAGATGACGCGTGCTGTGGCTGTCCTCGTCCTCGATGAGGTGTTGTCTTGCTTTGTGTGCGTCTTGCTCGGGTAGCTTGTCGATGTCGCTGGACTTTATATTCACGATGTTGCCGAGCAGGATGTTGGCAGGTTGCTTGTATTCTGGTCGTAGTCCGGTCGCTTTCTTATTTCAGGTAGTGCATCCCCATCTGGGGTACGTTCGACCATGTGGTCGAAGATCTCCCGCTTGTTGGCCTCCGCGTGGACGTTGCTGGTTCCGTCGGCTCCTGTTGTGCATGTTTTCCGAGGTAGTGGTGATCTCCTGCAGCCTGCAGCACTTGCGCTGGGCATTCGATGTGGGCGTTGCCAATGGTGGCGGGCCATTTGGGGAAGTCGCTTGTGGGTGAGCTCAGCTTTAGGATGGCCACGTGGACGATCTCTTCTGTAGGTAGTGGTGGCGTTCGGTAGGTGCCCGTCCATGCTGATAGGAGTGCGAGATCTCGTCGGTGGTATAGATATACTGGTTTTCGCTATCCTCTGAGGTCCGTCTCGTCGCAGTGCAATCCACCGATCGTTTGTGGAGTGATGTGGTGGCGATCGACAGGGAGGATGTAGTGGTCCGCATATGGATGTCGTGCTCCTCCTCCGCGGGCTTCCACGATGTTTCTTGCATATGCGGCTGGTATTCCAATCTCTGAGTTCTGCTCTGGTGCCCATGCAGGAGTAGCATGAGCTTGGTCTTTTTGGTGCGGAGCCGCATGTCATGGGCCATGGTCAGTCTGGTCATGCTGTTGGAAAGCGTCTTGGCCGTCTTGTGCCGTGTTGTGTCGTAGACCGTCGTGCGCGTTCATGTCGCCTACGAAGGGTGTGCCGGTAAGTTGTGCTCCTCCATCCTCTCCCTCTATTGTTTTTCTGCCCTTGGAGAAGATGGTTTCCTGTTGTCCTATGTCGATGTCTATCTCAAGGTTGCTGTCGATCACTGGTGCTCCAGGTCGGGTGCCAGTACGCGGCTGCGCCAGTCTGGTGGGTCCTTTCGTAGTGGCCCACATGTCTGCGCGCGCGTCTTGTAGTAGTGCGCATGGGTTGTGGTTGAATATGGGCGCCCCTTCCATGGCAATCTGTTGTGCAGGGGGAAATGGTTCGGGTAAACGGATATCGCGCAACAAGTCGTTGAGCTCGTCTGGTGCACGGGGGAGCTGGAAGACAAAATGGAGCACCACTGTACGGGGCGCCCTTGAGGCCAAAGACAATTATCATAGCTGATGTTCCATTTTCCCTCGGCTAGTCAATGACTCCCAGGGGCGCATGCGTGACGAAGTCGGTGGACTGGTGCGGCCGCGCCCCGCATTGTGCGTCTCGTAGTAGTTGAGCCGTGGTGCTCTTGAGTCTGGTGCGTAGGAAGCGGTGGTGGTGCTTAGCTGTGATGTTGTTGAGTAGTACCATCCATCTCGCTTGTAGGTCAGGTTTAGTTGCGTTGGGCTTGGAGAGCGACGTTTGCCATCCGCCTTTGTGAGAGAGCGGTTTCACGGTCGCAAGTCGCGGTGTTACCAGGGTTGTGTGGTATATGTTGGTCATGTTTTTCGGCGCGATCTTGCAGTAGTCGTCGATGAGGTTACCAGGTCCTCCACTTCTTCCTTGTTTTGCCTGTGTGAACTGTCGCTTCGTCTCTTTTCTAGTGATGATGTTGTGGAGAGGTGTGTCGTACAGCGTTCTCATTGTGGCTGAGTGGTTGGCGTGGTTGTTGTACTTGTCGGTGATCTCTTGCGGGCTCATAATCTTGAAGTGCTTGGCGATGGCGAAGTGGTCCAGTTTTGCTTCCGCCTGCTGTAGTTGATCGCGTAGTGGCTGTCCGTCAGGACCGATGACGTGTTGGTGTTCAGCTGTAATGCGTCTTGGTCTGCCTCCAAACCTCAGGAGCCTCTTGATGTCAGCCCATGCTCTTCTGGAGTCGCTGTTGTTGTAGGAGTCCTTTGCACTGTTGGCAATGCCCGCGAGGAAGTGGGAGCGGTCAGTCTCGATGGCGGTTGCTAGCTGGGGGGATGACCCGCGTGGGAACGCAATCGCTGCCAGTGTTATCTCATCTAGCTGGGCGTTTTTGTGTTTTATGTCTTCAGCTACGCGTTGAAGTGGTAGTAGGGTCTCTGGGTTTTTCCTCCGCCTCCTTCTCCCCTTCGTCCTCCACTCTTTCCCCCGGCCCTCTGCCTTCATCATCTTCCCCTGCGTCTCCTCCGTCCCTTCCCCGTTGCCCTCCTCCCTCCTCATCCACCTGCTCCTCCACCACCTCCTCCTCCTCGTCCTCCTCCTCCCCATCGTTGTCCTCCTCCTCCTCCTTCGATTGGGAACCCTTTGCACAGGGTTTCTTCTCGAACGCCAGGTGCAGCGCGATCGTCGTTGGCGACTCAAGCTGGATCCCCAAAGCAAGCTGCTGAACCAGAGACAACGACTTTAGCGAGACATTTGCCCATCACTCCTCAGCATAATGAAGGTTTGCGTGCGTATAGCGTATCTTGAATTCATTCAGCGCTTTCAGATTGTATGTGCGCGTGTTCTTGGGGGTCCAGTGGCGTCTCGCGAATGCGGGGGTGGCGAGATGGCCGATGGGGGGCGACGTTCCAAAGGCAGGGGGCTTCTCGGCCCCGCCTTTGAGAGGCCTTTTTGGGGTCTTCGGGGCGCCTTTCTGGGAATGCTCCCCGCGCCCTCCTCGTGGGCCGCCTCCCTCGCGCCACCCCGCCGCCGAGCTCCAGGGCGGCCTGGCCGATCCTGGCAGGCAACCCCTCTGCGCCACGGGCCCCCCTCGCCTCGATCCAAGGCGCGGGCAGGCGAACGGACGAGTCTCGATATCCTCTTCCTCTTCCTCCTCCTTTTCGATACCCTCCTCCTCCTCGATATCCTCCTCCTCCTCCTTCTCCTCCTTCTCCTCGATATCCTCCTCCTCGTCCTCGATATCCTCCTCCTCCTCCTCCTCCTCAATTGGGCCGGGGGTCGACGCATACGGTCGTCAGCCAGAGCTCCGGATCTTGCAGGATCCTGCAGAGCCAGGGCTGCTTTGACCCGGGACGGCGCGCAGGATCCTGCAGGGCCTTTGAGGATCTTGGAAGGCCTCACTGGCCCGGGCTTGCATTGGCCCAGGTCAGTGTGTCCCTGAGGCCAGGGGGAGGAAGGCGGCAAGGGCAAGGTATGGGGTGGGTTGGCCGGGGCGGCGCGCGCAAGGAGATGGCGCGAGGGGGGGGGCGTCTAGAACCGACTCGCAGCCGCCCTGGGGCCCATTGAGTCGGTGCGCTCCCGGGCGGGCGCGGAACATGTTCTTCCTTCGCTACGTCGTCGGAATGGAGGTCGCGCGCGAGCGAGCGAAGGGCTGTTTCCGCCTGGGCGCCGCACAGTCTCCTCCTGCACTGGGAGTTGCGTGTACTCAACACTGTGAGTTTCCAGCTAGTTACGCATGTTGTGCAATGTGTGGTGTGAGTCTATGTGTAGCCATTAATGTGGCGCAATGTACGTGGTACAACTTAGTGTGTGCAATACATATATATAGATATAGGTATGGTGCAAGCTATGTGGTGCCATCTATCTGGTGCAACATTTGAGGTCCAACATATGTGTTACAATAGCTACCGTGCAATCGATTTGGTGCACAGCATGTACATGCACACATGTATATACATACACCCATATATATATATATATATATATATATATATAGATGTGCATCGGCACACATATACACATACATACATATACATACACGTATGCGCATAACCGTGCACACACACTTGCCCATACACATGCACATACCTTAGTGAGGGGGCCGTCTACAGGAAGGGGGGGCCACCCCAAAACGCTAACAGCCAGGCCGGGGGGCACAACTAAAATGTAATATTCAAGATTCTGTTTTTGTCCGAAGGCATGGTTTGGAAAATCCAGAATTATGGTTTGTTGTTGTTTTTGCCCTGAAGGGCTGCGTGTGCTTGAATTCAGAAATCGTAATTTTATTGTTGCAAGGCTTCGCCTCTTTCGCCCTTCTGGAAGTGTTGTTGCACGATGGACGCCACGTGCGAAACATGTTTGCGGGGAGTTGCGTGTGTAGTTTCATTCGCGGTTGATCGCGTAGTTGGTTTCGTTACTGTTCGTATCCATCACGGTCCACCCAGCAATAGTACCCAGGCGAAATGTCTCGATCAGGGAGGTGCGGGAACATTCCGTGTAACGAAGAGACATTGATGGGGAAGCCGTCAAATTGAATTTCGTGGGCCAGCCTGGGCACGCCCTGGAGTGAATGCACATTCGCGGCCCTTGCCGAAACAGGCAGGGCGCAGAAGAATGATGAGGGGGCGGGGGAGGAGGAGGTGCGGGAGGAACACGAGGAGGACGAGGACTAAAAGG